ACTCAACACCACTAAAAGATAATGTTTAGGATGACTTATTACCAACAATAATTGTGATTAGATTATATGAAAAAGACAATCATTTCACATTCATTCTAAAGGAACCAAATTCACCAACCAACAGGTTTGTAGGAACCAAACTTACACAGGAAAATAAATCGCATATAGACAACACTGCATGTAAACCCTGCAGGAACGGTGCCAGATACTCACTTATTAAAAAGCATTTTAAATATATATTTTCTACCCAGTAAGTGACCAATAACCCTCAGTTGAGTACAGGGGTGCCGTATAGGGCGGGGGGGGGGCGGGGGAGGCAGGACAATTCCCAGGGCCCCTGAGTGACAAGGCCCTAAACATTCAGAACATAACTGGATTGGTCCGGCTTGCGGGGGAGCAGTATGATGTGGTTTCATGGGCCCTAAAATCTAACTATGTAACTCAGCCAGATCAGAAGTTATATCAGGTCATTAATAATGGTTTCCTGTAATAATAAATCTCCAATCAATCAAGCTCACATGTATCACAATGTTCTGTTACACTGTTACTTATGTTGTACCAGCTACATTCCTCATTCTATTAGCCATCTTCCTGTTTGCTGTTTCTTTACTTTTGGTGCTCATTGCCACAAGAAGCAGTAATGTTATGTTCGAACCTGAGCCTTCGAGGCGTGTATGGAGTAAGTTTGAATGTCATGACTGTTGTTGATTGTAAAGCTGCTAAAAGCTGTTGTCTCTGTTGCCTTCTGGCAGAGAAGGTGTTTAACCTGAAATGAAAACCAGACCAAAATGAGAAGAAAAATTCCTGAATGCAGCTGGAGGACAAATCAGACACAGATTCTCTGTGTGAACTTATGTTATATAAAGTTCAAACAAAATAAAACTTCTTCAGGTAAGGCAATTGTATTTAACAATTTCAGATAATGATATCAATATTAAAACAGACGCACTGTTGAACCACGAAGTGCAGTTATTCTGTAGACATAACATAGGTCTGGATTTAATGAATAAACGGAAAATCACACACTTTAAATACAACATCACACAAACATCTAATTCTATACACTACTGATTATTAATGTTTCTTAATGACATTTACATTCTCTAAAAGTTAAAATTTCAAAAACATTCTATTGAATGGATTCTCAGCTGAAGTCCAGGCTGTATCTACAAGCATAAGCTTTGCTGTCATTGCAGCTTCAAACACAAATGACAAGTGACACTATCAGCTGTGTCCATGTGAGGGAGCCACAGGCCACATTCTGTGTAGTGAAGCCCCAAAGCCACACAGAGCTGCCTGGGTCAGATACCGAATAACCAGGGCGTTTGGCTTAACTGGGTAATATGCGTTTGGACAGAGCAGAGATTCAACAGTAGACTGTACTGATGAAAATCAGAATTTAAAAAAATCATGTCTTTTTTTACCAAGTACTATCTCCAATAATTTCCTAAACTACAAGCACATACACTCACCTAAAGGATTATTAGGAACACCATACTAATACGGTGTTTGACCCCCTTTCGCCTTCAGCACTGCCTTAATTCTACGTGGCATTGATTCAACAAGGTGCTGAAAGCATTCTTTAGAAATGTTGGCCCATATTGATAGGATAGGCACTAAGGGGCC